ATGGATTTAATGTTCAACCTGTAAGTATGAACACACATTGTTATTGCCTCTTATTATTCGTAAACATCCCTGTCTTATTCATGACTTTATTATTTGACACTTACTGTTTGAACTGCTCTATGATGCTGTATCTCTTCATGAGATATGTAGAAGGTCGTGCCATTGCAAGAATGTCATCAGTCACCCTAAATGCAGAGATAAATTAACATATAAATATACATGTAAGAGTTTTAATGCAGCAGTTTCACATTCATTAATCTGGCTAAATAAGAAAGCTCATCTTTTTCACTTTGCATTGGCCTTTTCTCCATACTGTGACTGGATTTTTGTTCAGCTCTCCTAAAGACTCTTTCCCTATTAATTTTTTTTAAAACTTTAATCTACAATACTAGTATCTATGTTTATGCTACTAATGTTTATTTTAATAGTGACTATGTACACTCACCGGCAACTTTAATAGGTACACCTGTCCAACTGCTCATTAACTAAAATTTCTAATTAGCCAATCACATGGTAGTAACTGAATGCATTTAGGCATGTAGACATGGTCAAGACGATCTGCTGCAGTTCAAACCAAGCATCAGAATGGGGAAGAAAGGGATAACAGAGAATGTTCCAAAGAAGAGAAAATATCCAGTGAGCAGCAGTTCTGTGGGCACAAATGCCTTGTTAATGCCAGAGGTCAGAGGAGAATCGCCAGACAGGTTCCAGCTAATAGAAAGGCAACAGTAACTCAAATAACCACTCTTTACAACCGAGATATGCAGAAGAGTATCGCTGAAAGCACAACACATCGAACCTTGAAGCAGATGGGCTACAGCAGCAGAAGACCATACCGGGTGCCACTCCTGTCAGCTAAGAACAGGAAACTGAAGCTACAATTCACACAGACTCACCAAAATTGGATATTAGAAGATTGGAAAAACATTGCCTGGTCAGATGAGTCTCGATTTCTGCTGCGACATTTGGATGGTATGGTCAGAATTTGATGTCAACAACATGAAAGGATGGATCCATCCTGGCTTGTATTAATGGTTCAGGCTGGTGGTGGTGGTGTAATGGTGTGGGGGATATTTTCTTGGCACACTTTGGTCCCAACAGTACCAATTGAGCATCGTGTCAACGCCACAGCCTACCTGAGTATTGTTCCTGACTATGACCAGTGTACACATCTTCTGATGGCTACTTCCAGCAGAATAAAGCACCATGGCATAAAGTGTGAATCATCTCAGACTGGTTTCTTGAACATGACAATGAGTTCACCGTACTCAAATGGCCTCCATAGTCACCAGATCTCAACCAGTGGAATGTGGTTTAACGGGAGATTCGCATCATGAATGTGCAGCCGACAGATCTGCAGCAACTGTGTGATGGTTTCATGTCAATATGGACCAAAATCTCTAAAGAATATTTCCAGTACTATGTTGAATCTGTGTCACGAAGGATTAGGGCAGTTCTGAAGGCAAAAGGGGTCCAACCCAATACTAGTAAGGTGTACCTAATAAAGTGGCCGGTGAGTGTATATTAACTGTATATTCATAACTATGCTGTTGATACTTATATCAAATTTAAAGTCAATGATAAAAAAAAGTTAAATATATGTCAATATTTAGATCTTTTATTAAGACTAGCATTTATTTTAATTGTGACTAGAACATTTTTATATGCACCAGTACTTATTCATTAGATTTTAGTGTAATGATTTTTGGGGTTGTACCAGAGTTATAGTACCTATTTATACCGGATGCCCTTCCAGCTGCAATCCAGTAATGGGAAACACCCATACTGTGAAAACTTTCATTCACACACATACAGTTTACCTATAGCGCATGTCTTTGGACTGTGAGGTAAACCGAAGCACCCGGATCAAACCCACACCAACACAGGGTGAACATGCAAACTCCACACAGAAACGGCAACTGACCCAGTCAGGACTCGAACCAGTGACCTTTTGTCCTTATTATAGATGTTAAATATATTGTACATATATATTGTCATCTTGAGTTACTTTCATAAACTTCTTTGCTTTTAATCAAAGTTTGTAATGTTGTGATTCTCTTCATACAGTAGGAGGATGATTGGTTGGTTCATGTTTTATAATGACTTAGCAAAAGCTTTTTAAAATGGGAAACAATTGTGTTGCAGAAAAATTGATCTAGAACTAATGCACTTCATTACAACTGGGCTCTCAATATCCTCTAATTAAAGGGATAGTTCACCCAAAAAATTAATTTCTGTCAAGTACTCAAACCTTAATGTGTTTTTTTCTTCTGTTGAACAGAAAGGAAGATATTTTGAAGAAAGCTAGAAACCTGTAACCATTGACTTCCGTTGTTTTTCCTACTATGGATGTCAATGGTTACAGGTTTTCAGTTTTCTTCAAAATATCTTCATTTGAGTTCAACAAAAAAAAAAAAAAATCATAACGGTTTGAAACCGCTTGAAGGTGAGTAAATTTTCGTTTTTTAGGTGAACTATCCCTTTAGGCATTTATGACCATTTACACATTTAAGCGTTTTTGGACATATAGCAAGAAAAGGTTGCAAAAATATATCCAGCTAAAATATATAACTGGATATATATTTGAAATATATCCAGATTAATATAGCATCATAATGGTTCAGAAAAGGAGGTTTTACCAGCTGGAGAAGATGCCTTTAATGGCCTGCTGGTTTGTGCTCCAGCACGCCGGACCCTCATAGCGGCAGTCTCTCCCTCCGCAGGCCAGAAGACAGATGATCTTGGGAGGCACGGCCTTCACCAGGCTCTCCCTGGCCTGGGAATATGACGGTCTGGGCACTGGAACCTGCGGAGTCATGGAGGAGACAAGCGGAAAGGAGGAAAACTAACAGCAAATGACTGCTACTACAAACACTAATGGCTTAAAATGAAGCAGGACACTTTGTTGATGTGCTGAGCATTGGGAAATAAGATGAGAAACACTAGATGGGAAAACAGAAACATGCATACTAGTCAGTGACAAAACTCTCAAACTCTACCTATGAGCACTGTAGTTTTGGGTCAATTAAAAAAAGTAATTAATTACTAATTACATCATCAAAATAGGCATTTCACGTTTATTAAAAATGTTTAGTATTTATGCATTATAACATTATTCATTAGCTAATAATTCGAAATATGAAATTAAACAAAATAGGCTATAAAAACATGACTTTGTATTTCATTAATACCATATACTGTCATTGACAAAATTTTGCATGTGCAATTGTTTGACAAATGTAACCTTCTATAGTTGAAAAATATAAATTATTCTGTAAAATATCTGAATTATGAAAAAATACAATTGCTTCTGAATTTTTACCATATTTTGTCCCTAACTAGTGTTTTAACTTTTAATATATAAATTGTATTAACATTTGTGTAATCATCTTGATAAATCAAACCTTCTATAGTTTTCAAAATATAATTAAATCTGCAGCAAACAAAATTTCTAAATTTGTGCAACAAACATTATATATATATATATATATATATATATATATATATATATATATATATATATATATATATTTTTTTTTTTTTTTTTTTTTTTTTTTTTTTTTTTCAAGATACTTCTATACAGCTTACAGTGACTTTTTAAGGCTTAACTATAGGGTAAATAGGCAAGTCATTGTTTAACGATGGTTTGTTCTGTAGACTTTCGAAAAATATATAGTTTAAAGGGGCTAATAATATTGACCTTAAAATGGTTTTAAAAAAATTAAAACTGCTTTTATTATAGCCAAAATAAAACAAATAAGACTTTCTCCATTAGAAAAAAATATTACTAGACACACTGTGAAAATTTCCTTGCTTTGTTAAACATCATTATATTATATTTAAAAATTTAAATAATCAAAAGGGGGCTAATCCTTCTGTATGTGTGTGTGTGTGTGTGTGTGTGTGTGTGTGTGTGTGTGTGTCTATATATATATATATATATATATACACACACACACACAAACACACACACACATAGGGCCTACATACATGTACCATAAATACATCCATACATTATTTTCAAATTTTAAAGTTACGTTTAATTTATTTACAATATTTAAGATTAGTAACTGTAATTTAATTAGATCTAGAATGAATAGTAATCCCTTTTTTCAGCGGATCATTTAAATACAGTAAATAATTACTTTGTATCTAGATACACCAAACACGGATTTCATTGTAAACAGGGTGAAGTAAAAAGTAGCCTAGCTTAAATATTGCTAATAAAGTCTATATTTGGGTCACTCTGTGGCCTATCGACGCGGGAGATATTAAATATTTACCGTCGTCCATTTAGACAAATATTTATTTTTTATCATGACTAAGTTCTATAACTATTAAATACTGCCTATTTAAGTTACGTTCACAAGCTGTACTGATAATGCAAGAAAATTATTTAAATATTTAAATAAAAGTCACAAACAATACTTAATCAATAGGCTACTTAATCACTGCATCGGCGCCATGTTAAGTTGGCTGACCTGCATTTTAATATTGATGACTTATCTACGACGCTGTTCGTTTGATAATTCTGCCTGACAACAACAAACAAAACAAAAACAAAACTGGCTTACCCACGTGATTTCTCCCAAACAAAGAGTCAAATATGAAATGTTTCCGTGTAGAGAAAATGTAGCATGGCTATTTGCTGGCACATATTCCTGCCTCGGAGCTGACCCAGCTATTGGCTTTTAATCCTTATTAACTGTCATAAACACATTAGCGGATAGACATTCACGATTCATATTAAGCCTAATTATAGTCTACAACGTCTTCAGGGTCTGATAGATCTGCACGCCTACAAAACAACTAAAATGTTTCTAATGTGATTTGAGTTAAGAATACTGTTAATGTTTGCATTTCAAGACAACTGAAATTAAATGCAATAAAAAATACATATATATATATATATTTCATATAATTCATATAAAATTAATCATGTTTTGCCAGATTTCAAAACTGTATTTAATACATTTATTTAACACACACACACAAATATTCATGTATTATGGGGAGTTTTACGGTGTAGCTCATTAGATAGCAAAATGTCACATCACAATGGGGAAACATTGATCATTAATCATAGTCAAAATTACTTGCTAATGATCCCTTTGCCACTTAACCAAGTACACAGTATCACTCAATTATAGCCAGATTACCATACAATGCAGTTTCAATACAGGTTAAATACCCAATATTGTAACATACTTTTTTTCTAACAGCACTGCAATAACCTGATTGGCAAACAGTGTGTAAGAAGATTTTTTCTCCCTGTGGGATAATCGATGGGACTGAATCCCACACTCCTAAAATTAAAGGTTATAATATGTTATAAGTTTGCAGTGATGTCATATTAAAAACCAGAGGTGGTTCTAGACCCTTTAAAGGGGGCTCCATCAACTAACGAAAATAACTCAAATCAGTTTGTAAAAATTATTGATAAGAAGCTAACGTACCTTCTAAAAATGTAGCAATTGTTTTTTTATTAACATTTTATGTTCTTTAAATGATTATAATGTTAAATCAAGTTTTATTTTTAACATTACACTGAAAAAAATGGCCAATTGGATTTACTCAATTTTACAGTTTTTTTTAAGGTAAGTGATTGCAAACCATTTATGAGCAACATTTGATTAAATTCAGCCCATATAAATTGTTTGAAAACACTTAGTAATTACAATGAATCTAATTTATATCAGCAAAAAAAGGGTTAAAAGCTCCCCTAATGAGGAAATCCTAGAACCGCCAAGAAGAAGTTCAAGCTCCTTATGCCCAAAGTATAGTTAACTTTTTACACATTATGCGAGAGCATGCAGTACAGTATTCAGTGTTTGTAAGTTAAAGCTACATCTGATAATTGTGCAAAGAATATTTTCTCATTTGTACTACTCTAGCAAAAATAAGAATAAAAAGACGTTTGTGTAGGTCATTGGTGGCATTGCACATCAAATAAAGTGTATTTTTAAAGGTGTGTACATGTGAATTAATGATGTATACTTTATGTTTAGGGTGAACGTTTTACTAATAATTATATATGCTGCTATAATATACTCAATAATGATATATAACATTTTTCAAGAACCTGCTATCCAGTTTAAAGTTGTTATGTTAAATAGAATAAAGAACCTTTGATTTTAAGAGTGTATCATATACTAGACACATTGTACAAAAAGGCATAAAAGCCAATACAATACGCATAAACACACCCCAGAAATATAAAAATTTCATGGAATGTTTTTGAGAACTATTTGACTATTGTCAGAAATGCGGAAAACAGCACATGCTGAACACAGTCTAAAAATACAACCAGTAAGTCCTGCTACAACCTAGAGTCATGTGTGTTGCTCAAGTTCGTAGTCACAGCAATAACTGGCTCAGATCTTCCAACTGCTTATTGAATTTCATTTCAAGTACACAGAAGGAATGATTACACAATCCACCATTCTCATTAGGATCATGGTTAAACATGACCATAAGAAAATAGGACACGACTTGCATAAGCAAGTTTGTGGATCCAGCATTTATTGAGTGAAGTCTATCCTTGGCAACAGACTCTAGAATTTTCATCGTCGTCATCTTCGTCATCCTCTTCATCACTTCCCTCAGACAAGAACTGCTCATGGAAAATAAGCATTGTTACTCATTGTTAAATAAATGTACAAAAAAAAAATACACTGCCTTTACACCTTGATACAGAACAGATATTAAAGTCTTTAATTCTCTTTTTGACACAAATACAGTTTATATATTTTAATAACAAACATAACCTTGTTCTAGATGGATGGAAATGTGCGTGTGTTGGACAGATTAAAAAAAAAAACCTCTAGTCACCTGCTCACCCCATATCCCTCTTTAATGAACAGAACACATTTTGATAAACAAAATACAAAACAACTGGACACAAGCAAAGCATTTTAAGCCAAATATGAACTGGGACAAATTTATTAAATGTGTGATTAAAAATAGCTGTTGAAAAATTCAAAGGTGATAATACAGTTTAACAAATCAGATTTCAACAGAAACACTAGAACCTATTGCACATCACTTTTTAAACAATGAATAACTGCTGGTTTGAAACAATAATAACAACAGTTTATCATATGCTTATAATTTTCCCGAAGACAAAAGTTAAAACTCACCATGGTGACGATCTGTTTAAGGTTCAGAGCAGTGCAGCTCTTCAGCTGTTATTTATGTCCTGTTCACACCTACTCAAAGAATGGACAAACAGGCATCAGCCAATCAGATGTCGACACATTATGTTTAGACATTTCCACAAAAACAAAAGTAAAACGAAAAAATCGAATGTTGTGATGGATATGAGAGTTTCTGAGTATCACAGTGTTCACAAACAAACGTATAATCCATATTAAACCAAACAAAGCACAAAGCTAGTCTTGTGAACAGTCGGGGAATAATAGTACACCCTCAGAAAAAATGGTACAATGTTGTACCAAAGAAGGTACAAACCCTTGTCACTGGGACAGTGGGGCAATACCTGGAACAGAATTGGACATTAAGACAAAGAAACAATTTTGTACCATTGCAGTTTGTACCTTTAAGGACATGATTTGTACGACGGGAAACCAAAATGTACCTTTGGTTTTTCAAAACCTGCAGATACAATATTTTACAATACAACAATACACTTTGTACCTTTACAGTGTCAAATGTGTTCCTTCAAAAATTATTTAAAGGCATTTTGCTTCATCCAAAATATGTCAATTTATTTTTTTTGTATACATATCTTTTCACTTTTTGTGTGTGTGTGTGTGTGTGTGTGTGTGTGTGTGTGTGTGTGTGTGTGTGTGTGTGTGTGTGTGTGTGTGCGTGTGCGTGTGCAAATGCACCTTTTTCAAAACATAAACCATAATAATAATAATCAAAAGATCACTTTTCACAAAAATGTTACAGAAATACATTCTCCCGAAAATTTTACTCAAAATAATTTACTTAATTTTAAAATAGAAATAGAATTATGCAAAAGTATTATAATGAGAATTGCACAATGTTTGATTAGTTTTACAATAGTAAAATGTCTGCATGAACACTTCGCATGTGCAGGACTTTTGCCAGCTCACGTGTATTGTTGAAAGCAAACGCCAAAAGGTGCGAATATCATTAATAAAACTGTAATGTTCTGAAAATGCTTACCAAATGTTTATTAAAAATGCTTTAAGTGTTAAGTTTACAATAGCTATAGTTTTGTTTTACCAGTTGTTTTGTATTATAGAATTTAATAATTAATTTTTATGAGTTTCTTTAACAACCCACATAGCAAACGGACTGGCCCGAATTTGGCCTCATGGCACTGCTGGATTGTTGCCGACACTGGCCTGCATAATGTCAGCCAAATATGGACCATGCATGGCAATGATGGCACTGCATGTATGACGGCAAACTTTGGGCCAGTTTTGGATGGGAGATGTGTTGCCCAGATTAGTGTAGTGATTGTTCACGTTGTTTAGGTAACATTAGGCTGGATTGTGGATCAGTTTTTGGGGTTTCTGGTTAAAGTATAAACTTCTAGCTGAGAATCGGTACCAACAATAAACCTGTTTTGGCCCAGTTCAGAACCAGTTAAGGGTGATGAATTGACTGAGATTCAGGCCGGTTATGGCCCATGTGTGGCCCTTATCTTTAATCCAGTTATGAGCCACTTCAGGACCGTCATTCTTTCTGGTACTTGGGCTGAGGGAAAAGGTATTGTATGGGCCAGAGCTGGGCCAGAAAACACTGGGAAGTGAAGCGCTCTCGCTCAGCACAGTGGAGATTGCTTTAGTTGTATCTTTTGTATTATTTTTTAGTTGATTGGCATGCAATAACACGCAGTCAAACACTTAGCCGAACACATCCACCACTAACAGATCCACCGCTAAAATGATCCATGGTGAATTAGTCTGGTCTGGTTCTATTCATCATTGATTGGGTGAGAGCAGCTCAAGCTTACTGGCTGTGGAAATCAGCGGGCATGGCTCATTATACAAGAAAACGCCGTTTATAACACGTGTTTTTGTGGGATCAAAATAGTGTTTTAAACTGTGTGCTTTGGCAATCGGAACACGTAAAAAGCAGCACATTTTACCAACACAAAATCGCTGCTAAAAACTGCATTTTTAAAGGTTTACACGCGTTATATGGTGTTTGTTATCAGCACGGCATGTTTAGCGGTGTTTAATATGGTATTAGTGCCATTAAATGCGGCGTTTTCTTTGTAAACGTGATTGATCAATAGCGTAATCAAGACTTCTTTGGCTTGTTATATTACTGAAAGTGCAGCCGAGTTGCAGCAAGAGATTTGCGTCTTTAATAAACTACGACAGTTTGCATTTATTGAACAGTAAGAATGATTAATAAAACCACATGAAACAGTCCCCTAAAAGTGATGTCGTGTCTTCAGTTTCGGGCTCAGGCACGTTTTGCACTCACTACAAGCGTACTGTGCCAAAGCCCAAGTTAACTGCGTTCTGGCACACCTCTTCCAAACCGGCCAGAACACTCACACTTCTCAAACGACTCGTGAAATGCGCCTGGGCACGGTTCGGATAGCATAGTGTGAGTGCGCCCTTACACTGTAAAAAGCTGATGCATTTACATGCAGTTTGTGCAGGGATGTGTAAACGTAACATTCTGTAGTGCATTTAGTAATTTTCCTATATTCGTTCGTCCCTTCCAACCTTTCTTTCTATGTTTGTTCTGTCCTCCTTCATTTATTCGTTTGTTCGTTCCTTGCTTCATTCATTTGTTCCTTCCTTCGTTCAGTCATTCATATTTTTGTTCCTTCCTTAGGTCCTTTGTTCATTAATTCGCTTTTCCTTCCTTCCTTAGTTTTTTCAGTCCTTCCTTGAATCCTTCCTTCATACATTTCGTCCTTCCTTTGTTCCTCCCTTCATTCGTTCATTCATATTTTTGTTCCTTCCTTCAGTAGGTCCTTCGTTCTTTCTTTCGTTCGTTCGTTCGTTCGTTCGTTCGTTCGTTTGTTCGTTAGGTAATGACGCAAGTTAGGGTAATTAGGCAAGTCATTGTATAATGAATTGTTCTTTAGACAATCAAAAAACAAATATTGCTTAAGGGGGCTAATGATTAGAAACTGCTTTCATTCTAGCCGAAATAAAACAAGACTTTCTCCAGAAGAATAAATATTATAGGAAGTACTGTGAAAAAAAGAGATATTCAAAAGAGGGTGAGTATTTATTTATTTTTACTTCAACTGTATTAGTGTTGTATTGTATAATGCAACCAAATATGACCCTGGACTACAAGTATTGAGTTTTTAAAATTGAGATTTATAAATCACATGAAACATGAATAAACAAGCTTTATTTGATTGATATACAATTATTTGAAAATAGAGTCTGGGGGATCAAAAAAAATCTGAGAAAAATCATTGATTTAGAAGTTTTGTCTTTTTAGAAATGCATACCATTAATCAAGTTTTGTTATATTTACAGTAGGAAAATGTACAAAATACATTCATGAAGCTAGATATTTACTTTTTTTATATTTAGTCAGTTTAGTGGCTAATTCGTATGAATTTATACACTGTAAAACGATTCACATTCACTTTAAAAAACGTTTTTTGGGGTGCAGAAAAAAAAGTAAATAACAGTGGTTAAATTACAGATATTTACCATAGAATAACTTCTAAACAGAAATTTCCTTAAATTAAAATTTCTGGTGAATTTTTGTAATTTAATGTCTGTTATTTTACAATAAATTTCCGTCATTTATCAGCCGTTATTTTACGTATTTTCCGGCTCCCCAGCTGCTAAAAAAAGGAAAATTACAGATTTTTTTACAGTGTTGGTTAAACATACAAACTCAAGTTCATCAGCTGCTTTGAAAATGTGAGTCAACTCAACTTAAGAGATTCAACTCAAGTTGAGTTGATTCTCATTTTCAAGGCAGCTGGTGAACTTGAGTTTGTAAGTTTAATCAGTGTGAAACATTTTACTGTATACAAGTTCAGGCATACAAAAATGTACGGTTTTTAAAAGGAGGCATAGCACCAAACCCCACCTCTAAATCATACTAAAATGTACAAAAGAGATTGCACAAATTCATAAGAATTAGTCACTAAATCAAAAAGTTAGAAACTGTTGTGAAATAGCGTTGAATAGTCTAATGATTTTAATGATCCAACCATTCAAATTTTCTGCATAAAAATAATCAATCATCTCTCACAATGTAGTTTTGACATTTGCCAAAAATATACCCACATGCAACAAATGACCCTGCAGTGGCTTATAAAGTAGTGTAATCAACCAAAAAATAACACAGCACAACATCAGATTCTGTTTCAGTTCATGATCTTTATTTCTTTTTCTTTAAACATTTATGGGGCTGAGTTGCCTCAGCTGGGCCCCAGACCAACTGAAACCAAGCAATGCAGAAACAAAAGTTTTCACTTTTTGCATTACGTGCATTGACATTAACTGCTTCATAGCATTGGACTTTGCTTCTATAGCTTGTGACTTTGCTTTTATAGCTTTGGAGGGTCTTTTATAGACTTGAGGGTCGATGTAGGATGTTATCCTGACATCCTGCCTCTGCACATCTGGACAACACAAAACAAAGAGGCACTCTAGCAAATGCTGAGTTTCCTCTCTGAACGGCGCTGGGCCAGATGACCTTGCCCTTGGCAGCAAGGATTTACACGACCTCCACCTCCTTCATGATGCTAGAACAAACAACAAAAACAAACAGCAATATGTTCAATATGAAGATTGAGAATATTTAAACAATCTATCAACAATAACTATCATATCTACACCAGCGGGTATTAATATGCAGGTCCCAATAAACAGTACTGTAAAATCTGTTAATTAACAGTTTCTGTATTTTGGGTTTTGGGTTTAGTTACAGTTGTGAATTACATTGTGGGCTGTTGATCTCTGCTCTGTTGACTTTTGATGTTGAAAATTCAACTCTACAATTGAACAAAGTGACTTTTATTGACATTTTAGCAATTTGAGATAAGATATATTAAAATAAATAATATATAGAGAACTAAGTTTGTAAAATAACAGAAAATGTAGCTTATTACCAGATGTTTGCAGCATAATATACAACACCGATCCAGAAAATATACAGTGCTGAGCATAATTGCGTACTCCTCATTTTGAAAATGAATATTTGTATCCATTTTTCTGTGAATATAGGCGATGTATTTTGGTGCATTTAAACAAAACAGATTTATTAAACAGATATCTTTATTAAAATAATATTTT